CCTCTTAAACAAGACTCTGGTTCTCTATACCTTTGTTATTAGCCCCAGGAATTGTGGACTCACAAAATCCTTACACATCCTTACTATGTTCCTAAAACTATTCCATCTCTGCATCCTGCTCCCATATACAGGGAAAGCACTTGCTACACAGAGAGGTCACACAGCTGATAAGCATCAGAACTGGGATTCAAATGCAGGCATTTTTAAGTTTGTGCTACTTAGTAACTGTGTCTGTCCCTTCTTGGAACAACTGCACTGTACCTCTTTGTGGGAAAGAAAGCTGATGGATGGACGCATGGACTTGAGTGCGTTTCTCAACCGTCTGACTTGAACAAGGAAGAGCACTGCGGTTCCAGCTCCTAGCCTACTGCTCTTTGGAGGGCTTGGGCGTGCAAAGGGAAAGCCACCTCCCTAGCACCATTCAGTGACAGCACATGTTCTGAGATGGATTTCAGTGCTGCATGAGCAGGAGGAGCCTCCATGGGCTGCAGGTATGGTCCAGCCCACCAAATGGAGCACTGTTCTGTCTCTTGTGCTTCAAGGGATGAGAAGTTTTGCCCTTGGATTTCATAGTTGACTTTGGAAAAACATACTTAAGTACCCCCCAGCTCCCAAGTCTAAAGGAGGCAAGGATGGGGCTGCTTCCATGCTATGTGCCTTCCTCCCTCCTCTCTCACTGCCTGTTCTGCTTGGGATACCTACCTATAGCCACAGCTCTCGACTCTCCAACTCCAGATCTGTCTCCTTCACCAGTAACACGCACAGTCTGCAAATGGTTATGGTGCTTCTGAGCGCATCATTGACACTAGCAGGTCTCAGACAGGGGCCATTTGGTCCCCCAAGCTGCTTTAGGAAAATCCACTCAATTATGGTAAACATGATGAATTCCTAGCAACCTTAAAGGTTTCATTGTATCTTAGCCATGAACAAAGGGCGCATTTGGAGGCCTTTTAAGTGATAAGGGCTAGAACAAGGCTCCAGTGATACTGCCTCTCACAGGGTCCTGGGTCTCTCTGAAGGAGATACAAATGTTGCTACTTTCTGGCTTAGAAAGTCCTCTGCAGGGATGGTTTGATGGCTCAATAGCCTAATCCCAGGCCTGTAAACACCAGCATTCCATGTGGGCTCTGGTTCGTGTCCCAGATGCTCCACTTCCCATCTAGCTCCCCGTGTATGACCTGGGAAGGCAAGAGAGGATGGCCCAAAGCTTTGGGACCCTGCACTCACATGGGAGATCTGGAAGAGGCTTCTGGCTTTGGATCGACTCATCTCTGGACAATGTGGCCATTTGGTAAATGTACCAGCATGTGGAATATGTCTCTGTGTCTCCTCTGTAAATCTGGCTTTCCAATAAAAATAAAAAATAAATCTTTAAAATCAAAACAAGGAAGAATCTTCTCCAAAGGTGAGCCTTTTCTTTCTCATTACTGGGTCTAAATAGACAACAACAGCCTTCTGCTTCTAAGACCGAAGTCCAGTGATGAAGGAGGTAGTGGGAACTGTACTCACTGTCTCACACGAATGCAATAAATGGATACCAAGAGGGGTGGACACCACGAGACACACCCAGGAAATCTCTGCATCAGAAATCTGCTTAGTGCAATGCTGATCTTTTTCTAAGCAGCTTGCTAGGCTGGAAATAAAAAGCAGACAGACCTACCATGCCCACAATCCTCGTGGGCTGCCTCCGGATGATGCCACCGGCTGCCAGCTGGAGCTCTTTCCAAGGGAGGCATGGGTGGTGCCATGGAGGCCTGGCGCTTCAGTGTGAGGTGGTGATATTTTTAGGGATGAATCTGGGCCTTGCTTCTCTCCCTCCCTCAGATGCTAAGTGGCCATCTGCATCGCCCAGACAACCTCCCATCTAGCCTGCTAGCAAGTGGGCTAGGGAAGGGGTTGTCACTGCGTATGGAATGGGGAGCATAGAGTAGTTGAGTCTCTATGGCCTGGGTGGGCCTGACTCTACCCACTCTAGGATCCTGATGAACATCCTCTGGTTTCCAGGTCTGTATTGATTCCTCTTTCAAATTTCCTTGGATATCTCCTCCGAGATCTATCCTAACATGGCATGAGCTTATCTGTGGAGAGCTGAGTTATACAAACTCACAAGAGTTGTCATGGGTGACAGGCAGAGACGACATCTTTGAATATGACAGCCAGAATCATTTCTTTCCAGCCCCCATGGAGCTCACGTATCAGTCACCTTTCCACTATGACAACACAGTATCTGAGACGAGCTGCTTATGAAGGAAAGAGATATGTTTTGGCCCACGGCTTTGGTGGTTCACAGCCCGAGACCAGGCAGTGCCCCTAGGTGGGACAGAACATCATCTGTGAGTGTCTGTCTGTCTGCTACAGAGCTACCAGGATTTAGGCTTGGGGGGGCTCTGCCCTAACAACCTAATCAGTTCCCAAAGACCACTTTCCACTAACACCAACACTGGATCCAGTTTCCACTCTCTTAGCGCTGTTAATAGAAGACTCTGAAGGCTAAGCCTTTTATCCATTAGCCCCCAGGGAACACCCAAACTCATATCCAAACTGTAGCAGCTGTCACAGGGGACTGCTGTGTGGTGGTAACAGTCCCTGACTATTGTCTCCCTCCGGGAGGTTAGTCCCCATCTGCTCCCAGCTTGTCCTACATCCCGGGAAAGGCTTAGTCCTGAACCTTCCTGTCTTTCTTAACACAGCCCCTCCCCTCTCCCAAGCTAAAATGCATAGGCTCGGGGAGAGAAGGCAGACATCCTGGGTACTCCTTGGTGAAATCTCATTTTTGAGTCGTGAGAATGTCTGTGCTGAGCAAGGCAATATCTGTTCAACTTGGTTGGCCACTGTGTTCCTGAAATGGTGTTAAGTTTGTTTTAATCTGGAAGGAGAACCCTGTGTTTTAGATAAGACAATGGAACACATTAGAAACAAAAAGGAGTGATAATGTCATTGTGTTCTTCTGCTTGTGCACCTGCTACATTGTAAGTTACATCCTTGGTGGACCCATCTCTAGCTCACAGGAGGGTTTGTGTATCCATCTCCATCCCCAACACTGTGTCTTAGGCCCAGGCTAGTAGCATCAGGCTTTGGGTCCAGTGAGCTCAAGCAGAGGCAACACACTTTCCTTAAGCTCATTTGAGTTTCCTATGATACTGCACACACAGAGGCCAGAATCTTCTCCCTACAGTGCCCCGGCCTGAGCCCTTCAGAGTGCTCAGAAGGACTGAGTGGGTCAGCTTTTCTGAGGATGGTTAGGACCTGTCCAGTACCCCTACAGACATGGACAGGGCTGTAACAGCCCCCAGCCTAGGGGTTAGGCATGCAGTTTCTAGATCAGACAGATCTGGGAGGAAATCCAGCCCAACACTTACTAGGCATAGGACCTTGACAAGTCACTCTGCCTGATTGACCTGTCTCCACAGCCACAGATAGGGGTGGATGTTGAGGTGCAGTGGGTTAAGCTGCCCCTACCCCATTTCAGAGTGCCTGACTAGAGTCCCAGCTACTTAGTTTCCAACCCAGCTTCCCACTACCACACATTCCGGAACGCAGCAGTGGTGGCTCAGGTATTTGAGTCCCTGCCACTTGTTGGGCAGACCTGGATGGTGAGGAGTTCGAGGCTCCTGGCTCTACCCTGATCTAGCTCCTGCAGCTGTGGGCATTCAAGGAGGGAACCAGTGACTGGAAGATCTCTTTCTCTGTGTCACTCTGTCTTTCAAATAGATAAAAAAAATAAATTACCATTTGCAAAATGCATGCCCACAGAGCCAGACTTCAATGAGGTAGTGTGTAAAAGGGCTCTCAAGTGGAGACTCAGTGTTGACTGAGTTGTGCAAACTCTTCAAGGACAGCCTTTGCTGCAAGCTTTAACTGCAGGAAGATAACTGACTCCTGTGGACCCTAAGGCAGCTGCCAGGCTGAACAATACCTGGGAGTCAGATCACAGGGCAAGGAGAAGAGTAAGCAGACTGTTGCAGCTGCACCTACCTGGCAGGGGAACGTGGCGTCTCCAGAGGGTGGTCTGGCAGACATTCCAGCAGCCCAGAGCTATGATACTGCTTCTTGCTGCCCCAGCCTGCCTGTTTTCCTCCCCGTGGGTCAGCTCAGTTCCAAGAATGCTTATTGATGCTTGCATGCAGCCAAGCCCCAAGATGAGCCCTGGGCGGCCCTGGGGGTGAGTCAGACAGGACTGCTGCCCATGGAGATGCCAGCTCATCGTCATTGCTCCTGGATGGGCACATCATGTTCTACAAGACCTGCACAGCCCTCACTCTACCGCAGACCTACACACGGTGTTTTCCACGAATGGTTGCTTCTGGGACTAGGGGTAAGAAGAGGTATATGGCCATCAGTGAAGGTGGGCAGAGAAGAAGGCAGGCCTTGGAGAGTGGAAAGATGGGAGGATGAGGTGGCTTGACCAAGCTGACATATGTTGTCTGTGCCCACTGCCGCTCTTGCCATCAGCATCATCCTAAGCAAGGCACGTTCAAGCCTGCTAGGTGGTAGGGTGGACTGCTGAAGCCCAGGAAGGCTAAGGACCAAAGCCAGGAGGGAGTTCCCCAGGTCACGCAGGCACAGCTGGGCGTGCACTGCATGTCCAAAAAGCAGAAGCTGCGTCTTGCTTTTCAGCCACCGAGGGCCACGCAGGAGCGGAGGTGCCTCTCTCCCTGGGCACCCGAGAAACCAACGCTGGGCTGCTCACCTAGCAGCGCCACCACGCCCTGCTGCTAGCGGCCGTGTCGCTGCCCTCCGGCCCGCGCTGGCCTGGTGGGAGCGCCCGGCGGCTCCCTGCGCTCTCGGGGCCGGGCTTCGGCCCACGTGCGCCAGCGGCAGCCGCGGTGACAGCCGGCCCCAGGGGGCGGGGCGGGGCGGAGGCGGGGGCGGGCTCCGCGTCGCGCTGCTATTGGCTGCGTGCCTCGGGCCGGGGGCGGGGAAGCGCCCCGATTGGCCCTGCCTCGGGTGGGGGGTGTTTCCCAGGCCGGTCCGCCGCGCCGCGCACAGCTGCAGGCGTCCGGCTGGCTCAGCCTGCGCGTGGCCGCCTCGCTCGCTCCCAGCTCCGCCGGCGGCCGCGGGTCCGGACAGCTGCGCCGGCGGCCCGTGGCGGAGACAGGCGCCGACCCGAGGCCCCCGGCCCGCGCGGCCTTAGGTAAGGCTGTGCAGGGCGGGGCGCGGCGGGGCGCGGCGTGGGCTCCGGGAAAGGCAGGCGAGCGGGGACCGTGGCAGCTCCGACTGGACTCCGCTCCCTGCCTGGCGCCGGGCAGGGTCAGGTGCGGCCGAAGCATCTTCAAACCTCTCCGCGTTGGGGCGCGCAGACAGCAGGTGGCCTTGCGGGAGAGCCCGGGGCAGCCCTGCTGCGCTCCGAACCCATCCGAACGCAGTAAAAACCTCCCGCCAGGAGCCCGCCCGACCTTTCTCTACACTCTCCGACACACAAACCCTGCAATCGTGAACCGGGAGAACCTCAAACGGCGCGACAGCAGTGCAGCCTGTCACCACACGGAAGACCCTCCCCAAACTTTGCTGGGTGCGACTGGGGCTCGTGTGTTCTCCCCCTGGCCCTTCAGCGGGCGTCCCCACCCTCCCCTTCCTCCCCTTTTATTTTCTTCCCCTGTTCCTCTCCCTCCGTAATAACAGGAAGTTAAGTAGGGCCAATGTCAGTGGCCTGGCTGGGTGCGGGCTGGGGCGGTGGCGGTGGCCGCGCTGTGTCCCGGGTGCCCCCACCAGCAGCCCATGCTAGCCCTGGGCCCAGGAACGCTCTTTGCGGTCGCCTACTCTCCTGCCTGCCCGCCTTCGCCCGGGGGACAAATGGGGTCCTGCCTGCTGCAGCCTCCCCCTCGAATTGATCAGACTTCCAGCCTACTGGAGCTTAACCTTGTCCCCGGCCAGTCTCAAGGGGCGCAGCCAGGAATGGTCTTTGCTGCACGGGGAAGGGTCTAGTGGAAACCAGAGTCAGCGCGCGCCTCTTTGCACCTTGTGAAGTCTGAGGCCTGAGTTCCCACCACGAAGGCGCTCAGGCTGGGCGAGCCCGCTTGCTGTCGGCTTGCTAGCTCGCTGCAGGCTGCCGTCCTCACTCCGTGGTTTGGGGTAAGGATGAAGTCACTGACCAGCTCTTTTGTGGGCAGATCCCGCGGGGAAAGAGCCAGCAGCCAGCTGGCCCCCGCTGATACTTGCGTGTCTGAGTTCCCAGGCACCCGTGTGCGACTCCTTTGGTGTACCCTCCACCTCTTCCCTAGGGGCAGTGGACCCCTAAAGGGGACAGGGACCTCAGGGCAGCCCCGTCTGGTGCCCTGGAAACTTGGATTGCAGTAGGGCTTTCTTGGGGGACCGGGATGATTTAGGGAAGATGTATTCAGTTCCTCTGCAGAGCAGGAAGGTGCTGTGACGCTTTTTGTAGCCGATCTCAGGGTTATTCTTCAAAAAACTCCAAGGGCGGTTCCCGTTCCCTTCCCTCCCCCTCCCTCTCCTCCTATTTTAGAGATGAGGAAAGATACTCAGGTGGGGTAAGTGCCCAAGTGTCTGAGTCAGCACTGGCTCTAACAGTGCTAAGTCCAGTGTTCTTACCGGCTGTCCATGGCTGTGCCAAGTGGCGCACTGTGTGCAGCCTTGGGGAGCCCCCTGGGTACTGCCTGGGGTCCCCCTGACCGCTAAAAGTCTGTCCACCAGACTTGGTGGAAGCTTGTCCTGCAGAACCCTGGAACTGACCCAAGTGAGCCCAGGTTGTTGAAGCTGAAAGTCCCTGGTCACTGGCTTTCAGTTAAAGGTGGTTTTGGCCGTGGTGGGTGGTATTGGAAGGATGGTGTTGGTGGTGAAGTCGGCTTGCACTGTTATCTTGGCCTCGCTTCTGAGAGTCAGCTTCTGGACCAGGTAGGAGGGCTGCGTGGGCTAAAATAGCCTCAACTTTGGGATTGATTCTTGTGTTTGGAGTCGGCAGGTGTTGGGGTATACCAGTTGTTGCTGTTTTTATCACACCTTTATAAAAATGTGATTTCACTTTTATTCCTGCTACTCCCTGTTTCAGACCCAAGGCCTGGCTTGCTGCCTGTATCCCTCTTCCAAAAGAAAAGTCGTGATTCAGGTTGAGATCAGTCGGCTACACTTTGGTCTAAGTCAGCTGAAGAACTGTGGCTGAGGCAGTGGGAGGCCCGTTCCTGGAGCAGCCGAGACATCCCTGATTCCTTAGCTGCCTGTATCAGATACCCATGCTCACACTTCCACCTGCTCCAGTGGGATCCTCCTTGTTGGTAAGGAGCCGTGGCTGTAGCAAGGTGGGGTGCGACGTGAGTAGGAGACAGGCTGCACATGGCTAATCTTAGAAGCCTCAGAGGAAAGTTCCTCATTGCTGAAATTTGCATTCTTTGTATCATGAGACTTTAATGTTAGCCATCTGAAGTACATAGGCTTATTCCCAAAGACACAGGGACTCAGAAATTAGCTGCCCCTCCCCCTCACACTGCTGGCAAGTAACCCAGCTGAGATTTGGACTCAGCCTGTAGGAGGCAGGTCTGGGGGTGCCAGGGGAGGAATTAGCCAGCCTGGGCAGGAGGGAAGGCTCAAGGCCGCCCTTTGAGCTGTGGTACCTCTGCCTGTCCAGCTCCTCTGCTACGCTTCCTACTCCTTGTGCAGTAATTATGTGTGCACACGTCTTCCCACCCGCCACACCACAGCCTTGAAAGCACTTGTTAAACCTGGCAGATTTATTTTCCAGTCCTTACAAACCCTTCCTTGTTTCTCCTAACCTTTATGCAAGCCTCCATGAGGGTATGTGCCGTGATGCGTTGCAGTCCTATCTTAAGCATATTCTGAACATTTCTTTTTCTTTCATTAAAAGATTTATTTATTTTTATTGGAAAGTCAGTTATACAGAGAGAAGAGACAAAGAGGAAGATCTTCCACCCACTGATTCACTCCCCAAGTGGCTGCAATAGCCAGAGCTGAGCTGATTAGAAGCCAGGAGCCTCTTTCAGGTCTCCTGCATGAGTGCAGGGGTCCAAGGACTTTAGCCATCCTCCGTTACTTTCCCAGGTGGGAAGCAGGGTCGCCCGGATTAGAACAGGTGCCCATATGGGATTCTGGTGCATTCGGGGCGAGGACTTTAGCCACGAGGCTACTGCATCAGGCCTGATATTCTGTACATTTCTAATACAAAATAGGATAGGTTAACGAGCCCTGAATACTCACTGGCCAGCTACATCAGGAATATGCCTGGTGGATGCTTGCTCACTAGCTCTCCCGCTCTCCCTTTTGTTCTCACCTTGCCTTCCCTTCCCTGTACCCTTCCTTCCCAATGAATTTCATTTTAAAGATTATTTATTTACTTGGAAGACAGAGTGACAGAGAAGAAGAGACAGAGATTTTCCATCTGCTATCCACTCGCCCTGATGCATGCAACAGCCTGGTTCGAACCAGGCCAGAGCCAGGGGCCAGAAAATACATCTCCTCCATGGGTAACAGGGGCCCAAGACTTGGGTCATCCTCCACTGCTTTCCCAGATGTATAAGCAGGGAGCTGGATTGGAAGTGAAGCAGCTAACATTCGAACCAGTGTGCATACGGGATGCTGTAGCTGTAGGCAGAGGCTTTGCTTGTTATGTCATGGCACCAGCCACAAGTATTTATCTTCAAAAGGGCATTTTCTTTCATGGTCACACATGTAGCAAAATTAACAGCAGGTCTTTGGTGTCACCTGTCCCTATTTAGATATCCTTGATTGTTTCAGACCTTGTACAGCTGGTTTGTTAGAATCAGGATCTAGTCCTCATGCCCTGTTTGGTTGGCAGTCCTTTAACACCTCGTTTAATTGGAGAAGCTCCTTATCCTGTTTACTCTGTGCTTTAAGTGCTTGTCTCCAAGGAGGATAGCAAGCACATTGAGACCATTGTCTGCTTCTGTGCCAAGTACTTGGGTCATGGGTGAGCATCATCCAGTGTGTCAAAGCCACTCAGGAGATGTGTTTCCAGTGAATGAGTAAGACGTGTCCTAAGTTAGTGAGATGGCCCCTGTACACATTCAGGTAAGGTGACTGGCTCACGTGCCATGTTTACCCAGCACATGTCAGTCTGCACGCCTCCTGAATCACAGGAGAAACCATCCTCCCTGCTCTAGCTTGTGCTGGGAATCCGAATATCACGTCCATGTCCCGGTCAGTGTTGGTCTCCATTGATGGTTCATAGCGCTCAGGAGGTGGTATTGCCCCAGGTTTGAATCCTGCATAGGGATGATGACCATGCTGGGACTCAGACACTAGGCCAAGGGGTTGGCATAAAACATGTTCACCTTCCTTTCCCTCTCTCTCTGGCCAAGCTTGTGCCTTCTAGAACCTTCTCTCACCTGTCCCGCATGAGGGGGATTAATGGAGCCTTTCTCAGATCACTGTTCACCTGCAGCCAGGGCAGGCTGTGAGAGGCAGTGAACATGTGTGGCCTGTGTGTGTCTTGTCCGAATTGGTTCTGCAGTGATGGGATCGTCGCTGGCACCTTTGTGGGTGACCTGGTGGCAGCGAACAGAGGCCTGAGAGGGAAGGGGCGAAGGGGCCTGCTTCTCTTGACAGTGCCCTTGGGCCAGTCTGTGAGGCCCCACCCTGGGGCAGGCATCATGATGCAGCAGATTAAGCAGAAGATTCTGCTTCTGATGCAGCTTCCTGCCAGTGCATCCTGGGAGGTAGCAGGTGATGGTCCCAAGGACATGGCAGACTTGGATAGAGGCTTTAACGTGACCTAGCCCTGGCTGTTGCAGACATTTAGGACTGAGCCAGCAGAGGGAAGACCTCTCTCTAACTTTCCAATAAACAAAAGCCCTCCTCCTTGCAAACATCCCTCAAAATAAATAATCACAGATTTTTTTTGCATATTTTTAAATGTTATATTAAAAAAAAAACACCCTTTCCCACCATGAGGAATTATAGCAATAAAATTTGCCATCTTTCTTTCCTGATGACAGTGGTAGAGTGGGTTTCCCCCCCCTTTGTAGTATTTTTTTTCTAAAATTCTGTAAGTGAAAACATTTTGCTTTTACAAAACCAAATATCTCTGTATTTTTTCTCCTGGCAAAGAGGACTCGCTTGGAGCACTTTGGAGTATTGTATATTGTATGTGTGGAGTACGCGTGCACATAATGCCACAGCGCTGTTGGGACTCTGGTATTTGGCTTG